CCCAAACCCAAACCCAACCCCAAACCCAAACCCAAACCCAACAAGAAAACCTGAAATTGCAGATATTAAAAAATATTTACGTTATCTTGATTTCATCTCAAAAAATAGAATACCTTGAACATATAATGAATGCTTAATGTTTTAGGTAAAAGAATAGTTAGAAAAAGCAGCTCTCTAAAAAAGGGGAAACTGAAAATTTCAGGAGAGACAATAATTCTGGTAATATAAGAATTTGAAATAGATTAGTGAGGGCAGAGAAATTGTATTTGCAATAATTGGTCATGCTAATCCATTTTTTATCATTCAGATTATGATGAACATGTGGTTATTGACTTTATTCAGTCATTGCTAAAGTGTTGCCATTAAAGTTTAGGAGGGTGAAAAAATGGACATCAATTATCGACACTCCGAGCTGATTACTGATCATTTCATTAATGTAAAATAAAAGAAAATGGAAAGAAAAACATCTAAATACCTGATGATGTTTCCTATTTCCTCAGGCATTTTTTTATTTATCGTGATTAGATTTCACAAGATCAGAAATACTTTCCTGTTATCTAATAGCTTTTAGATTTAGTTATTACCGATATTATCTACTAAATTCGGAATTGCTTCTTCATTATATCAAATAATAAACTTGAAACAAAATTATTTGCTGGTTGATATTTTTTGACCAAAATTAACACCAGAATTTTACATATTATTTATCAAATATTAAAAAGTTAAAAGAAGTGGAAAGAACTAAAAAATATAAAAATATAAGAATCAACTAATCGCTGTTTAGAATATAATAAAATATTATATAGTATGGTTTTGGAATAATTAATTTACATAAAAATATAATCATTCGTCATTTTAATCACCAAACGATGTGTTCAATCTAATTTCGTAATTATTTTATTTTAGTGTCTTCTATGATTAGCAATTACCAATAAATAAGTAACAGAATAAATTCTAAAATGTAACTTTTTCTTCATTTCCATAAGAATCCCTACGAAGACAGTAAAAATTCAAAAGTCTGTTAAATTTAATAATTTATTGACGGAAAAGTCTATTTTTTAACACTCCTGATACAGACATCAATTTGGGATTAAACATGCTCTTACTCTTTTCTTCGTGTTTAAGTAGCTTTCATGTCTACCATCATAACGATTAATTGCTTGATTCTCCTCAGATATTGTTCTATGTGCTAAGCCATAGTTGGAAATTTTCTTTTAAAGTGCTGCTAGATTAAATTCCTTAAAATAATAATAATAAATGATTTAATCTAATAATTTTATCCTTAATGTGGAATGCTGAAAAGTAAAATTTCACAGATTTTCATAGATCTCAAATCTAAGGTTTTAAAAATGAAGCTTATTATTGTAATCCTTACTACTAAATCCATTTATTTTCAAACTTATAAGAAATATATTATTCTTTCTCTTTAATGATGGTTAATTGAAAAAGACTTATTGATGAGAAATTAAAATGCCATCTTTGAGTTTAGATAATTAAATTCTAACTTAAATCTGAATGTGTTATTGAACAGATTATTTGTAAAATTTATTTGAATTGTTTTTGAGAAGTTTCACTTTCTCTTTTACTTTTATACTTTGGTTAATTTATATACTCCCTTCACAATGTGGTGATATCTTGCAATTCAGAACTTACAATAACAATGCATTTATTATTAATAATTGTTTTCATTTCTATTCAAGCATACTATTAATCGATATCAAGCCTTACTGCAGCTTTAAATTTGATTTCTTTAAAATATCAAATCTATTAAAATCAAAAATTGTGCCTATGAGGATTAATATGGAATAATATAAATTTGTCCGCTCTCAATTAATATTATTTCATTCCGACTCTTCTTTAAAATCGTAATCATTATTCGTATTCACATTGATAATTAATAAGAAAATAAAAGTTATCCATTATTGTATAATGTCGTCATCTCTTAAATGAATGAATTAAAAAATCTAAATATCCAAATACTTACCTTATGAGAATCAGATAACACTAAAATAATTTCTATTTTTATTTGAATATTTTCTCAACTATTTCCTCTCATTTAGAATTTTACAAGATAATCATATATCATTTCAATTTAGAAATTAAATTTTATGTCTAATTATTTTGGTATCAAAGAACTCAAATCATAAAATATATTAACAATAATAATTTTAATAGAAATGTAAATTGAATAGGTATTATAGAGTAAAATAGAATGTTAAATGAAAGAAATGGAGAAAGAGTTAGATGTATTAATGATAATTATTTTAGTAATCATTTGATAAAATAAATAATTTGATTGATTAGGTATTCATTTTAGATAATCCAATTAAAACAATTACTAATATTAAATCATAATCATCATTACCAAAACTAAATGAATTTCATTTTATTCATTAATCCAAGTTTTAATCAAACATCCTTTAAGAATTGACACCTTTAATCAAATCATAACTATAATTAAAATAACATCATAATATTCAATCTCAATCTTCATTTAATCTAAAACCATTTCATTATATTTAACATAATTCTATTAAATAACAGAATGGTTGTTATGCTTTTGCTTTTAATAAAGTTTGTTCAATTATTGCAGTTGGATAGAATTCACAAATAATAATATATGAATTCAAATAAGAACTGTCTAAATAAATTCAAGTATTAGATCGACTACAAGATGATGTAAAAACATTAAATTTTATGAAAAAATCTAATTAGTTGATATCTGGAGATCATCAAGGCAATATTTAAATTTGGTCAATTAATAACAACAATTCATGGGTTTGCTCATAAACAATTAAAGGACACAATAGTCAAATTAATTGTTTAATTGTGAATAATAATGAAGATATGTTTATGTCAGGCAGTAAAGATAAGACAATTAAGTTTTGGGTTAAGCAAAATTAATGGATCTGTTCATAAACAATCACAGATCATCAAAGTT